CTTCTGCAAAATGCAATTACCGGTAGATCGAGCCTCCGGCTGTGTTCACTGTCGACCCTGTCTCGGTCACTATTTTTCCTTTTAACGATTTCGTGAGTTCCTTGCCGCTTTTTCTGAGGCCGTCTTTCTGAAGAATCGTATTTTTTGGCGAGGGCGAGTTCTCCTCCTCCTTGTTTTCATTGAATCGTCTCTCCCAGGAGTAGATCGTTTCTTTCCTTCGTAGATCATTTTTTACCGTAGTCTTCTGTCTGTCCAGCTGCATCCGCAATTCGTCGTATGTCGTTCTTTGCGGCGTCTCTGCATGAATCCTTTCCGGGATGCCATGTGTTTCAAAATAAATTCGCAATAATTTCACTCTAGTCTTTCCTTTCGTTGAATTTATTACATTTACTGACGGAAATTTCGAGAGTCTATCGATAGCTACGAGCAAGTAGATTTTTTCCGTTAGGAATTTCTATTGGACCCGCGTAATCTAACTGGAGTTTCTAACCCGACTTCGTAAGCAGTGGTAGTGCCCTCGATGCATTTCTAAAATCAGATATTGCAACTACGGCATTCTTCCGCGAGATTCACTATGTCCTTGTGCATGTGAGGCCACCACGGTTAACTTGATGTTCCCAGCATCGCTTCCTGTCGCGGGAGTCCTCGGTTTAGTATTGCCTGGTTTTACGGGTACGGCTAGTCGATTATCCACCAGTATACAGTCATCCTACACCGGCATCTGGTTCGACAAAGGAGTAGTATAGGGTCCCATCAGTTCGAATCACTGTTATTCCCCTCTCTCGATCATTCTTCTGAGCCGATCCATCCAGGTATCTTCCGAGGTTAGCTCTGCTATGAGATTCTCGCCGTATAGTTTTGACAGGTTGTCCAGTGAATCGTCCCCTGACTGCTTTGGAAGCTCGATGTCTTCTCTGGGACTGTGTCGAATTCGTTGTGGTGGTTCGGCTGGGCAAATTTCTTTTTTCTCTTCGTTATCTTCTCTGGTCGTGAATTCGACTTGGATCACCTGTACGTCATTGTGCAGGGATTCATTAGGCTGTACGGGTGATATACTGATTGGGACTGGGGACTTTTTTCAGCTGCCGCTTCTAGTTAGCGTGTGCTACTTAGCAGTGTTCTTGATTTTCCCCGATTAGTTGCCAGAAAGAGATGAGTCTGCTGTCAGCTTCTTTCTGTTGCTTCTCCGACAAATGCGATCTTACTCGTGATTGTTGGTGTGTGTCATTCTCCGAACTGTCTCAGTTTTTTTGGCTGCCTATGAAATTTCTCTGTAATGTCTTCGTGACATATTTCTCCTCTGAATTATCATTTATATCCTTGAGGGATCGGTACCACTGCGGATTCTTCAAGCTTCCCTCCATGTCTTTACCTCTCCAGCGTTTCTGTGGCGTTTTGTCTCTCGCTCATTTTTTGTGAAGATTTTATTCGATGAATTGTTCGATTGTTTTTGCAGTAATTCTGGCCGGCCGCTTGCTGGAATGAAATTTAGAGAAAACATTTATTTTTGATATAGATTTGCTGTTTAGTTGTTTGGACTGTCGAGAAAAATGATTTATTTCGTTCCGGTCGAGATTTGTTCTTAGTTGACCGTTTTGGTTGCCATAGTAACCGTGAAGGGATGTGTTTTATACTTCCTTCGTTCAAGAATTTTCTAGAATGTTTTTTTTCCGGTTAAGCGGACAGTTGTTTTCTAGCCTACTGCTCATGCATTCTAAAGCCTTCTGAAAGGAGTTAACTGTTGCTACTACGAACTTTTTGTTTAATTCAGATTCGAGCCAAAGGTCATTATCCGAATCCCGTGTCAAAATGTAGATAATCCCCCTGGTATGTTAACTATTTTGAAATGATATGGCAGTAACCTATCTACTCAGCGAGTCAATCTGGTTTGATACAATTTGTTTGATTTGTTCCCATACAAGGCTGATGTTAAGGCTTTATGATCAGTTGCAGGGATAAAAATTTTTCGTCGCAGATATTATTTTATCTGTCTACTGCCCAGATAACTCTAATTCTAACTCTGTGGCTGTTATCGCTTTTGACTCTTGTGATTTTATTTGCATCCTAATGTTGTATCTTTGCGATATTAGCGACTGCATTTTTGATGCTCTCGATTATGGCTGTATGTTCTTCCCCCACTCAAATGTTTTCACTGGTAGTTTCATGTTTTTTTTTAGTTTTTTTTTCGGTTTTCTTTTTTTTGTTGTGGTCTGAGTTTATCTGTGAGACTCGCGGCGTTCGGAATAAAAATTGATAAATAATTTATACTACCAAGAAATAATCTTAATTGCTTTAATGATTCAGGTGGTTTGAGATTCTGAATGGCTTCTGTATTAGTGAGTTTTGGTGTTGTCCCGATTCCGATAGGTGATGGCCTAACCAATAATCTATTTCCTTTTTGAAAATTTCTCATTTTGAAGTTTTCAATGTCAAATTTTCGTCGCCTAGAATTTCAAAGAATTTTTACGCTAATTTTGCATATTATAATTCGCAACCTTTTGACACAATGAGGATATCGTTCAAAAAACAGAAAGGTGCGCTTTGCATGGTTTATCGTTCTGTCCTTGGCTTTTTGGAACTCAGTCGGCTTGTCTGCCAATCCATAAAACCCTGTTAGGAACCTAGAGGTTCCTGTAGCATTAACACTTACGATATTAAAATTGCACTGGCGAGCCAACCTGCAGCCAGTTTTTTTACTAAATGAATATTTTAGGTCCAGCACCGTGAAGTAGAGTGTGTCTTTTTTGTTTTCAGTAAAAATTTGGCTCATTCTATCAAAGAGATCATCATTATTTGGCATTTGATACTTGTTTTTGAACAGCTGCCCGTTGATGGGCTTTGCATCTAGTACCAATTTTTTGGAATCGTCTTTTTTGACTATTATTACATTTGAGGCAATGAAAAAACACTTGTGGACTTGCCTAGTTTTGTGATTTGAACTTCCGGCAATAGTTTCTGAATTTCTGCTGGTACCTTATCCTGTATATTGAATGATATTCTCCTCCCTTTCTCTTGAATCGGGTAAAGGGGGTTCTCGAATTTTGAAAACACTATGTGATTTTTTGAAATTCTCTGATTTTCGAACAAGTCTTTAAGTTTTGTTAAAAATTTGATTTTCCAAGCTTCTGACTGCTCGCACAGTAGCACGTCAAACCTTGACAATTCGATTGGAGCTGGTTTCTGTATGGTTGATATCCTCACTTGCCCCCGGAGGGCCTATCCCATTATAGATCTAGTTTTGCGTTCTGTTACTAGGAACGTGGATCCTTTCACCTCCCAGCGCGCTGACCATAGATTTGATTTTGGCGCCCCCAGATTAAGGATTGGTTGTTTGTTGTAGTCCACAAGCTATGCCAACAGATTTAATTTATCTGCCGGTATCAATTGTGCTTGCTTTGATTTTTCTATGATTTCTTTTGTTGTCGCCCATTTTAGTAAGAACACTGGGCTTCCCGTGTCCACAGTTAATTGTAAAATCTGACTCTCTATTCGTGACATAACCTTGAATGACCTTACTTTGTTGGATTTATGAGTCTGTAGGGAAATCAGTTTTTTTGATTCTCAATTTCTCACACTTCGTTTTTGGGTTTGTTTCCTTTACTCTCTCTTTGATGCATCTTGAAATTTTCCCCCTCTGGTTTTTATGACTGTATTGACATGAATTTGAAATCGCTGAACGACCCAAAATCAGGTTGCATTCCTCCTGGGGATTTTCAGAATCCTATGTTCTTTCGCTTAAAAGTTGCGATCTGCACTTTTTCGCGAAATGGTTAGGTTTATTGCAGTTCTTGCATGTTTTTCCCATAGCCAGACAAAATTTCAAGTATACCGATTCAATTGCGCGTCTTTATCTTTTCTTTGTGCTACGTATTACAGGATTTTGTTTGTCTATTAGAGGATGTGGATCTACTGCTTTTTTGTTTTTTGGTGTTTTCCCGCTTGAAAGATTGTTTTCTATTACCTCCAATCGAATTTCTTACTGGAATTACTGGCTCTTGCTGGCTTTTATTACGCCGCGTGAAAGGCCTCTAGTGTCTCTTCGTGTCCCTGTTTTCTCGTGAAGAGTTTGTGTATTTTGTATATTACGCAACTCACTTTTTGGAGTGAATTCAATGCTAGTTCAAAGACATTTTGGATACTTCCGCGTGGTTTTTTCCAGAACCTCTTTTTCCCTTCCGTTCCCAGGGTTAGGAATAGTCTAGATACGATTAGGAATAGTCTTTTTTGATTTTCGCTGTAATAAATGCTTTGAATACCTCTTGGTCCTCGTTCTCTTCTCTCTTTGTTTTCATGTGTCATTCTGTCGAAGGCTAATTTGTCTTTGAGATCTCATGCTGCTATTGCAGTTACAATTTCCCCTCCCTTGGTGTTTCAGGTCTTTGGGGTAGTTCTTCCAGTATTTCTTTAGCGTACTCAAGCATAATTTCTGGGTTGACATTTTCCTGGGCCATGACGGGCATTAGAAATTGTTCTAACCAAACTTTGAATTGCCACGGTGGGTCTAGACTTGCTGATGCTCAAAAAACTGGTATTCCCACATCAGTAAAATTGTCCTGAGTTGAGAATTCTGCTGGCTTAGACATGGGATATCCAACGAGGCTATCTTTTTGGAAAACTTATTATAATTCCAAAGAATTATATCGTTATTTGAATTAAAAGTTTTCTCTCAGAGAACTGCTGAGAACTACATAGATTCATGTTAGACCGATCAACTCAGCTGTGTACCGATGGTGTGAGTTCCAACGATAGACAACGATATAATATAAATAGAACAGTTCACTGAAGGTTACATCGCGTTGCTGCTATTGCAGTAGCAGTATCACACAGAGTGAGGCAAAAAAGCTGGTTATAAAATTTCATATTATGGAGAAAATGCTTTTTTTATTTCAATAAAACTTTTTTTTGTATGAAATTGTATGACAAGCATTTTTCCTTTATATGAAACTGTTTGAGAAGCATTTTTGTCAACCCAGGTAGTCTCAAAACTTTGTAAATCTAACCACGAATTCAATGCTGAAAGACAGTCGGTCAGTGAGAGACATAGCCGTGTCAGTCACAGATACAGAACATTCCGACAGCTCTGTTTGGGAGCCACAGTCAACTCTCAGTGACCAGGTTGAATTCGTGTCATTGGAGAACTCTATAAAAAACAGTATAATAAAATAAATTTGTTCAAGAAAAAACAAAATTAGTTTCAATTTAGAACTTTTATCCAAAAAAAAACATTTGGAAAGAATCGCGGAATTATTGCGTTTTTTAAACCATTCAAGGTTAAGTTCCAACCAATTTCAAATATTGATTATTTGGATCAAATTAATCCTTTTTCCAGTTTCTCCAAAAGGGGTCAAATGAATCATATTTTTTTTTAACCAATTTGCTACACCAAAAAATCAGCTTTTATTTTCACCGGATTTAAAAATGAAAACAAAAATCTGTATCAGAATGAAATCAATGTCTTACCAACGGTTGTCGTGACCGCATCACTGGGCGATGTGGTCTCTGAGTCATTCGGAGTTGGTGTAGTCGAATATGTTGTGTTTTTTGAACTTTCAGTAGTTTCACCTCCAACTTCTAGTACCACCAAACACGTGATGACAAGAGCTATCAGAGCCAAATATGCTGAAAAGAAAGAAGTTCACGTTGTATTTGATGGACAAACAAGTCCCGTGTAGATGAATTATATCAAGTCGAATTTTTTTTTTAAATAGCTGCTATTCAAGTTGGCGCGGTTTCAGCTACTAACTTTTATAGGATTTGAGAAGAATTAGCGACCATTTGTGGAAGTAAAAAATTATTTGGACCAAGTTATAACATTAGCAAAAAAACAATTGGCAACCAAAAGGAACTCGCAAAATTTAAGAACAGCTACAACTCGCAATGAGAATTAAGAATTTTGGTTCAAAGCCGTCGTGGTTCAAATCACTCCTATTTTGCAGTCATAGATGCAAACGCGTCCACACAATTCGGCCAAAGACGATTCAGCTGATTTGAAATTCAGACAATTCAGCCAAAAGTATGCAGACAATTCAACCAGAGACAATTCAGCCAATAATAGCGACCGTCGCAGTCGCGCCAGCGTGTTGCGAGCTTGCCAACAGAGGGTAGGAATCTATACGAGATTTAGAGCCGGTTATCGCAGCAAAGCGGCGACGCGCGCATAGCGCGCCCACCGGCGACCTTAGACCGAGAAATAACTCAAATTCCGATTTTTTCTCGAATCTAGCATTTTGTAAGACTCGAGAGCTGGTTGATGAAAGCAGAAAAACTTACATGATTTCATTTTATGGTTTTGCTAGACGTTTAATAAATGCGAGAATTCAGTATTAAATGCATCTCAGTATTGAAACAGTTAAGTTATTTATAATTCTTTAAAATGGTCAATTCTATGCTCAATTCTATTTTTCATTATCTTTGATTGCCTTCAACTTTTCAAAGGTACAGTTTTTGTTGTGGTTACTATCAATGAACAAAGTCTTTAATAAATATTGATCACACCTACAAAAACAACACCTCCGAATAAAAAATATCATAAGAAAGCTGAAGGTAATCAAATGTAATAAAAAATAGAATTGAGCATAGAATTGATCATTTTAAATAATTATAAGTAACTTTACTGTTTTAATTAGGAGTTCTATCGAACCGACTAGCTAAGTAGTTTTTAAAAACTAACTTTATTTGCAGAAACAGAAAGCTTATGATTTTTGTCGTTAAAAACATTTTGACTACCGTCTCTTGGATTACTGTAAAGTTTTTCAAGGATAATATTAATTATAAATTGTTTCCAGTATAGGTCCCCCCTTTTCATCAAATTATCACTCTCTCCGAAAAAACCTATTACAAAAGACTTGAGGAAAGTAAATATTTTGATTCAGATTAAGCCGAGCCTATTTGCTATAGCACACACAACGCATTATGCTTCATAAGCAATTTTTGGCTCTTCTGCTCCGATTAAACGATTAAATACCCAGGTCGAGGCTTTTGAAGAAGTTCGAGGCTTTTGAAGAAGTTTTGTATATGCAAACAATGAATACAGGGCAACAATTGGCAAACAATTGACCTTTAAAAAATTTCAATCATTCATACTCCATGCATTGCTTACTGTTCAGTAGCGGATTTTTCACGTGATTCCCGCGATTCAAGGCCGTTTTTTTTTGAGCCTAGAACTTTCACGTGGTACCACTATTGCAGCCGAAATTGGACAGATTGTGGTAGACCTGAAGCTAGAGGTCAAGTGAGAGCTTTTCCTCTCACTATCATTGCCATGGCATGGGATCGAATACACGATCTGACGATTTCAAAGTGAACGCATTACCACAGTGTGAACGCCTTACTAGGGGTTTGACGGGGGCAGATGGTTTCTTTTAGAGATTTGACCCCATAACCCGAAAAGTTACCTTTCTGTTACTATTATAAGAGGAAATAAAAGAAGACAAAACCTAAGAAAAAATACAGAACTTAAAAACAGTCTTAACCTTGTTTAGAAATCGGCCAAAATAATCATGACTGGTGTGATGTTTTGGCGGTACCACCCAAATTGAACCAGTGTTGCTGAAATAACTTTGGAAAGCCTTGACTCGGGGATTTCAGCTGAAAGGGTCGGCGTAACAAATTTCGTTTTTTAAACCTTTTATTCAATGAATTAGTGATATCGGAAAATTCCATGAGCTCCAACTAAGACTAAGACCAAAATTTTTTCGTCTCATTAAGTTACGGAACTCGAACATATTTAGAAGTCCAGCGATAAACGGAGCTCCAACATGTTTAGAGCTCCACCATAAATAAGAACCATATTTTTTTCGTCTAATTAAATAAACGAGCTCACTCCATATTCGTCTGATTAAATAAACGAGTGACTCAATCGTCTGATGAAATAAACGAGCCCACTCATCAAAATTTTCGACTATGCATGATTTGGTGGCTTAAGTATAATAGGTTATGGTCACCACACACACAATTGTTTGTATTCAAAAAGTGATGGCTTCGATAATTTTCCAACTATGTTTTTGAATAATCGGGTCAAGATTGTTGATGGCCTGATGTTCATTGAAAAAGTGGACTAATCCAAATTTTCCCTGTATGCTGGGAACATTTTTTACGATGCGTTTGAGAGAAGAATGGCCAGATAATTGAGGCAGCAAACAATCCATGGTTGGGATGTGTTCCAACTGATGCACAATTCAAGTATTCAGTTTCAAAATGTAGGATCGATGATCCTTATGCACTTTCGACAAAATAAGAACTGAACGTAGAATATGTTACCTTGGGACTTGCATGCAGCATGGAGGGGCTAATAGTAACCTGAGCGTAAGATCGATTAGTCATTAGGTTAAGTAACTTAGCAAACAAAGGGTCGCGCTCAAAATAAGTCAAGTTTGGAAGGATTCGTAACTCCTATGCCAGAAAAAAGAAAAACAACAAAATCGGTGAAACCCTCCCCCACTCCAAATGGGAAGTAAAAGCTATCTTCATGAAACTCATAGGTCAGAAACTAGTGATTATTTGACCCGGTCTTACGAAAAACGGGACCCCTCAGACCCATCGGGGGCAAGTGATAACGGTCCCCGAAGTGTAAATGGCCCTATCAGAATTCGGCAACTAGTGGCAGTATTGGGCTCAAATTTTAGTATGTTGTAGGCCCAGTTGAAGGAAGCTGAAGTTTAGAACCCCAGAATCCCAGGACCCCCACTTTCGGTTTTATGCCTTAAGTAAACATACCGACCCTTACCTTCCGGAAGTCGTTTCTCGACCCCAAACGAACGCAGCGGGCTGATACTTGAAGGGATGATACGTAGTGGCAAGATACATCTTCTAATAATTTTGAAATAATTCCAACGGTTAGATCGGAAGCTATTAGCACTTGAAAAAACAATCCCTAGACAGGAAATAGGCAATTTACGCAAAATAATGAGCGAGGGCTTACTGGGTTTTTTGCGGCAATAGATTTGCCAACGCTTGAAAAAGAACCCTAGTGAAAAAAACCCTCCGGCGGCACCGTCCGGTGTTAATAGCCTTCTCTGGGAAGAGTGATAATGGACCTAAGAAAAGGGATATCTTGGAAAGTGTTATTGGGATATATATGAAACTTGGTAGTTAGGACCTCCAGGGGGTTCTTAACCCAAATATGGAAGTTTGACACCGGGTGACCCCTGGGTGACCTTACATTTACCTTTGGGCGTTATGATCCAAACGTTGCATAGAAAACCCAGGGATTAACAACGGGAAGTGGCATATTACCCCATCCCCATCCCTTTGGAAATGAGAACTCGTCACCCTACTAATAACTGGTAGAAAATTTGTATATTGAAACCTGAAGCAGAAGCTGATTGAGATATAGATTTTATATTGCAACCTTGGAGTAACAGAATTAATCCACAGTGGACTGGTAAATATTGGGTTCAGTTTAGCTTGGCAAATGATCTATTAGTAGCATTTCAATTAGACTAAAGAAAAGTGGTCCCAGAGGAAATTGGCAGTAGTAGGACCGCGGCATGAGAATTAAGTCTGCTAAATAGTATGAACGGACGGGTAATTTTTTAGGCTCCCCGGAGGTTATTTTTGGCTTGGTTTGACGCCTAATTGTTGAGGTAAGTGTCCCTGATAGTTAAAAATTCGGGATTGGAATAGAGTACAGATGGAGGTTTTAGATGCTTGGAATGAATTGGCTACCCATAAAAAGGTTCTCTCCATACTCCCTGGAGGTCGAAATATTATTGAGTTAAAAAAACAAAGACCTTGTAGGGTCACTGAGTAAACATAGTATGGTTTGGAGGTTGAGTTGAACTCAAGTGTTGACGTTCTTTGAGGTCAAGAATCAATTGACTAAGATTGTATGAAATTTGTTTGCTTGGTCGAATTGCGTCACCTACTGCATACCGGGTATCTAATAAGCGTGTGAAGATGGATAAAAGAAACCGAACTTGGCACGTGGCAGTGTTAACAAGGGGAGGGATATAGTTATAAGCATTTGCTGACAGGTGATTTAAGCGGATATCAGGACCGATAGGGATGGCGTGACTAAAATAAAAATAGGTGCAAAAAGATAAGGAAATGGAGGGTACCAGAGTGCCTTTAAGAGTGAGAACAATTATTACTTGTGAATCCTTTAGTTGGTTCTCGGAGTAAGAAAACAAGGAAAGCAGAGACAGTAGATAATTGGTTCTCATCAGAGTGAGAACAGTGATTCTTGGAGCTAACGAGATCAGTTAAAGTACCTCAAAAAAATAGTGACCCGTTGAGACACTATTAATTTTAGCAGGCCAAACGGAATTTTTGTGTATAGTTACTCTGCGTTGGTTAGTTAGGATTCTCTAGAGAGAGAGAGAGAGAGAGAGAGAGAGAGAGAGAGAGAGAGAGAGAGTTGTTTAGTGGAGTCAGTTGGAAATCAAATTGAAATTAGGAAACTGTGCGAATAAATCGCGGACCATTTCTGTTTTATTTATTTATTCGATCATAATCTGGCCACTCATAGCCTTCTGTCATTGGACGTATAATCATCTGAATTAAATTACAATTGGAAATATTGCGAATGTATCGAGTAGACGAGACAGTCTGAAGAGCAGTACACAAGAATGGGGCAAACAAAATATTACAGTACAGATTTGTTGCCACGAAACCTTTCGGGATTGTAGATAGTACTGAATCTCGGTCGCCCCGGTGACATCACTACCCAAGGGACCACTTTGCGGTATCTTTAAGAGAGAGCGAGAGAGAGAGAGAGAGAGAGAGAGAAAGAGAACGAACCTAGAGAAGCAATCCCCTAAATCTACACAAAACAGCCATGAAAACTGTTCTAAAATAGCAGAAAAAAATCCAGAATTGGTTCAAAAATTTTTCATTTTAAATTGAGTTTTTTCATGCAAGTCCAGATCGAAGTTACCAGCAAATGCTATACCATACATTTTTAATTGTTTGTTTTTATCCATTACATAAATAAGTGTCAGCAGTTGCTGTGCAAGTAACGAAGAACTTGCGACCATTAATCAATGCGCACAAGGATTTTAAAAAATTCAATTTTTTTCGACGAAATTTTTTTTTTTCACAATGAGTTTGGAAGTCCATATATTATAATAAGCATTTACCACAAAATAAACAACCCCTTAGGTATTTTTTTTTCAAAATGTCGTTTTTGAGATGGATGTTACTTACACTCTATTGTGTAATCAGATTGAACTTGAGCCAGTGTAGCAAAAAGTTCAAGCCTGCCCCGTTTTTTGGTACTAACAATTTTTTTTTCAATTTTCTAAAATTCTAAATCAAAACTTATATCTGATTCATTATTGAGCAGTGAGGTTTTCTTTGAAATAATCAAAATTTGCGGAAGAAGTCGATGATGAAAATCAGCCGAAGTATATAGGAACCGGAAACGGCTTTGAGGTAGTAACAAAAATCATTCTTGGCCATAGAGTCTACCGCTATTTCGAGAGCGATCGAAACACTAATGTCAGCTGAAATTCACTTAAATGTAAGGTTTATTTCCAGGATGATAATTATTTTGATGCTTATTATTAATTTTCCGTAGAGTGTACCTGATGTTAAATACCCGACAGTTTTTGAATTTCTTTAAAAACTCCGCCACAAAAATTTAATTAAAAAATTAAGCCACAAGTATTAGTTAAAATTATAACAAAATTATAACAAAGTTGGCCTCTTATGCAGCTTAACAAACTTTATGGAGGGTAGATTGTTCTCAATTTTTTATTACAAAATCTTTTTTCATGTCAAAAAGGTCATTTTCACTATTTAAAACTCCATTTTTTTAAATTTAATAAGTATTTTATATTCATTTGCGCCATATCTTGGACTTTATATCATTTATAAACTTTTTTGGACTACAAAGGAGGCTGACTTTGACTTGATTTTTTTTGAATTGAACCGATAGTTCTGGAGTAGCTTTTGATTGACTAAAAAGCCAAAAATGGGGCAATATTTTTGGGACAATATTTTGGACCCAATTGTTACAAAATAAATTGCATCACATTACTTCTGCTAAAGTTCTAAAATCAGTCCAATTTGAGATAAATGCATGTCAGTTTTCTAGAATTATTGTTTTGTCAGGATAATTTAAATCAGCTCTGCATTTATATAAATTGATTAGAGCCCATAAAACCTGAAATTTTAACGTGGAATTTCGTCAGATTTGTTGGTAAAATTAGTGTAATTAAGCACAATGCCCACAACTTTTTTCTTTTCAGTTTGTTCGATAAGCGCCAAAGCTACGGAGTCAATCAAATTGTTCTATGAAGGATCATTATAACTCGTCCATCAAAATTTATTTTTTTTCTTGTTTGAAAACCGGTTATTATTTACTGAATTTTTACAATTTTGTTTCTTATATGCTGTTTTTTTATTTCAAAATAATAATATAGTGATTATTAGCTTGTGTTGATCATAATTCAATTCTTACAATTATTTTGATGAAACCTCATGAAAATTCCTTCATGACTCCTTGAACATTCCTTCTTGCAGTTCTAAGAAAATTTTTCGATAAGTTTTTGATGAATCAAATCAATCTAAAAAGAATACATTATGGAACTATCTAATCAACTTTTGTCTTCCTTGCTTTGTGTCTAAAAAATGCTTCAACTTGAAACATTTGACGCATTCAAATTTTCAAATTCTGCAAACAAACTTTTCAATTTTTTGGTGATAATCTTTTTTAAAGCTTTGGCTGTAGTGAAGGGAGGGGGATTGTTAACTTCAGTTTATAACTGACAGTGAACGACTACTTTTTTCACATTTTTTGGTCTTGAGAAAAAATGTTGCTGTTTTTTCATTGTTCCGAGAAAATTTGTTCTCAGAATAATTTCATGGTTGCTCACGTGGCAACTGAAGTTGTTTCTAAAATATATAATTTTAGACATAATTGAAATCGTTTTTTTTTACACAATAAGACGACCAACAGACTTCTTTCAGTGCACATTTTGCCTGATAACTCGGGGACCAAAAATTTTGCGGGACCAATATCACTATAAATCCATGAGACACTTTCTGCCGTTTATCAAAGTAAAAATAAAGCCAACAGTTTTGACGCGACTTTACTTTAAGGAAGACACAATTTAGAAAAAAAATATTTACTCTATTTTCAAAATTACATGTTTCACAGATGAGTGAGAAAAAAAAACAATTTAATTTAATACATGGAACGTTCACCTACCCCGCCAATTTCGGAAGAAAGTTTTTAAAGCTATGGAGAAGCATCGTTAAAAGCACAAAAGGTATACAGACCTCATCACTTCAAAGAAGTTTTTGATAAGCAGCTCCGTACAGCTTCAAAACTCTCTTATGAATCTGGCGGGATAAGCAATCTTTCCAGTTAGTAAAAAAATCAGCTTTTCTCTTTGCGCCTCTGTGAAACAAGTCATTTTGACAAAAAAGTGTTTTTTTTTCAACACTGTTCAAAACAAAGGCTCTTTTGACGATTGAAAACTTTAAGCCCGAAAAAAAAACTGCGTTTGTTAGCTGCTGAGAGGCTTAAGTTTCAAAATGGACGCACCTTGGTGGTTCAAACCCTTAAAATATTTGCTGAAACTTAGTCAAATTACATTCACAGCATAGAAAAAACCATTATCTGAATCATCCTGTACATGACCAGACCACTACATTTGATTGATTTTTTGTCCCACGCCTAAAAACGGTACCGCAACAACTTAAAACAAAAGACAACTGGTATTATAAGGCAACTCGCAAAATTTAGGAAAAGCCACGCAAAATTTGAAAACTGGTTTATGACATACAAATTTTAGCTAACTTTGCCGGTTTTTGGCGATGCTGAGAACTGTGCAAGTTGTCTTTTAAGGTGAATTTTCTATTATTGCGAGTTGTCTTTTGTTGCGAGTTGTCGTATAACGCCTGAAAACACCTCGTAAATAGAAAATATTTTGTGTACTTATTATTTTTCAGAAGGATGTTTTTGAAGAACAGTTATATTACGAATAGATAAACAATCACTTCGCATGTCAAAATTCGTTTCAATATGACAACGCGAAAAAAGAACGAGCCCCCAGAAATAAAAAAATGTTTCAACTTTTTTAAGAAAGCTCCCCAGGCAAAACAAGATTCGAGTGATTGTCGGGCTGTAACAACCGTATCACTCGACACGGAAACTTTGGCACGGAATCTCGACTCAGGGGATAATAGATATAACAAAAAGCTTACCTGGTTTCATTTTGATTTCTTCAAAAATTCAATGAATGCGGGAACTTGCATAAATCGTAGTACTGCTTTTGATTTTCGTAGCTATAGTACTGCTTTTGCTCGAATGAACAATATTTTGCGATGGTAACTATTAATGAACGAAGTCTTTGATAATTTTTGTTCAACGCTAAAAAGATTTATTATATATAATGTAACACTTAGAATGCAAAGTTATTTTCTACAATAAAAAATATGACGGTAATTGATATAGAATTGCACCATATAATCAGAATATAACTGATTAAGTGTGATCAAAATTCTTGCGTTTTAGTTTGGACCTCTTTTGGACCGATTTGTTCAGCTGGTTTTTTTTGAAAACAAGCTTTCTTTGCCAAACAATGTGCATGCATTTTGTCGCTAAAAGAATACGCTTAAACTACCGGTTTTTGATTCCAAGATACTGCAAGGATGTTTCCAGTTTCTTGGAAAGAACGCATTGAGAGAATTAGCAGCAGCGATGCAGTGTTTTAACTGCTAAACCGAGCACATTCTGAAAGCATATTCACAGGCAATCAGCTGCATTTGGCTTTAAGTTTCGAAAAACCCGGCCGAGGTTTTTAATTAAGTATTGTCTATGGAAACAATGGACACTCCGAACAATTTTCACGGCCGTTTTTGAGTTAAGTGGTCGAATATTTAAAGAAAGAGCAGTTTGTTATCGGAACTTACAACAATTTGAGTCAATCTGCTGGAAACAGACATGACAATATTCAAAAAGGGTGGAAAAGCTCTGAACTATCTCAACTTTTCATGTCTTGTCATTTGCTCATACATATTTTTTTCAAAGTAGCTACATACATTTTAGAGACATTAATTGACAAAAATGAGAGCGATGTTTAGCGTGGTGTTTGGCATCTAACGGTATGCTATAATTTTCGAAGGTGGTGGACTGAGGAAACATAAAAAAAGGAACCGGTTATAAAGAAACTACAGATGTAGGAAAAACTAAAAGCATCGTCTTTTTGTTTTAGAGCGTAAACTATCGTTTAAAATACAGTTCTTTCAGTTTTTGTAACCGTTTTGAAAAATCCTTTTTTGTGCTCTTCGTACAAAAATTACTTGATAAATATGAACAAGACTGCTCGTATCAGGGCGAAGCCCTGAAGGTTCCGACCGCCTTTAAGGTTTTATGGAGCAGTAATAACATAAAAAATTTAAATGTAATTAAGTAATATGAAATTTTCCGTCAAAAATGGCTAGTTAAAAAGTCGAAATTTGTCTGAAGAAAAAAAAACCCACCCCGAGCACAAATATTCCGTTAGTTTCGTACCGAAAGTCGGAACAATGATATATTTTATAGGGACTGCCAGACAAAACTACGGTAAAGAGTCCGTAGAACCAAAAAATTAAAACATTCGATTATGTTGTGAGATGTCATTGTCAAACAACAATCAATGTGCTGTCAATCAATGTATCTCAGTTGACAATCAAAGCATAATTGTTCCGACTTTCGATACGAAAGTAACGGAATATTTGTGCTCGGCGTGGGTTTTTTTTCTTCAGACAACTTTTGACTTTTTAACTAGCCATTTTTGACGGAATTTTTTATATCATTCAAAAGGTATTGTTGTCCTGAGCATAAATTTGAAAAGATATTTCACCTGTGATCATTTTTCGTAAAGTTATGAGGGTTTAAAGATTGCCATTTTGGGCATTTTGACCAATTTGGGACAATTAACGCGCGATATAATTCGCGCTATTAACGCATAAGCGGAGATTTATTCCGCCTTATAAATCGTTCCAAATTGGTTGAACGAAGCTAATTTGCCATAATTGATTTGTTACAAGGAACGAAATCTCTCTTTTTGTACTTTAAATGGCGTGTGGGGGGATGATTTTCATTTAAAAAATTCAAATTTTAGAAAAAAAAAATTTCATTTTATTTTATTTCATTTGACTTTTTTTATCTTATTACTGCTGCTCCATAAACCTTAAAAGGCAGTCGGAACATTCAAGGCTTCGCCTTGATACGAGCAGTCTTGTTAACTTTAATTATGCTTTGATTGGCATAATTATGCTTTGATAACAAGGCACCTTAATTAACTTAGCGTGAAAAATAGTTTCAAAAACTTCAGACATACTGAATCAATTAAAAAGAGAAATCTTTTGTATTGAGTCTTGAATGTAACTTTGATGCTTCAAAAACCGGCACTTAGCTTCATGGATAACGTTCGATTATAATCAGTTTTAGTAATCAATTAAAACTGCACTTTGAGACCTCTTTCAGACAATTTTTTTAAAATTATAATCAATTTTAATCCACGAAAACATATTATAATGGATATAGTGGATTATATTCTGCAAAAGCTTGTTATATTTTATACAAGGTTGCATTAGGTTGCGGTGGGGCCTTAGTTGAAAAAAACCGCCCACAATTTTTGTTTTTATGCCTTAACGGATTTTTATGAGCATTTTGGCGAGGGAGCCTTGAAGCATAAATTTTGTCTAAAATTGGGCTGTTGCATGCAAAAACTCCGCCAACCAAGTCAATTGCTCTTTTTAATTAATTTTTTCTGCTCGAAGTTTTTGCTATTAATTATAGATAAAATGCCGGTAGCGTTGCAATTAGCAATTTCAATTCAATCCAAGCTAATAGTTGTTAAAAAAACTGAAAAAATTTTTATTTTAGTTTCATAGTGAGATGATAGATTCACTGATTTAACTGTGCAATTATTTTTCGTTGTTGAAATTGAGAGCTTTCGAACTTTTCAAATTATCCACCTGATTTGAGTTCACATTAAGCTTTAGCATAAATTTATTTTCATTGATTAACATCCATTGTTTGGAGCTAAACATTTGCACAAATTGTAAATTTCAGTGCTGAAATAACTCAGATTCAAAGCTGAAAAAATCGAAATGCAGGGAAAAACTAGCAGGTAATTTGCTATAAAATTCGTGATTTTCTAATTTCATAGGAGTCATTAGTGCTGATTCAGGACTAGTTAGAGTTGATTCATTTAAGGGATTGAAAAGTGAAGTTTTTTTTCAATTTTTCTCCCAAAAGCAGATTTCAGAGCTAGATGCGTTTTTTGAAATTTTAAACTATGAAAGATTTTCTCTAGAAGATTTGAAAAATGCTTTATTTTTCTCAAGGAATTTTTTAAAAAACGCAGTTTCAATCTCCCTATCGTTGGATCTATACTCTTACCAATGCAACTTTCTTTAAAAAATTTAAATGAAACAATCGGAGCTAAAGGTACGGCGGCTCAAAAGAAAGACAATGCCAAACAATGAGTGTTTTTCAGAAACGTTTTTTAAAACTCTACAGGTCGAAGGGAATCTTTTTGTTCTAAATATAAGAAACTGAAAAACAATTTTTGTTGTTTTGGCTTTGTTTTTCCCTGGAACTGTTAAATAGAATCATTGGAAAGCTCTACGTACATAGAAACCATTTTAGATAGATTCACTGATCTAAAATTTTAAAAATGTGAGATCTGACAAAATTCCAAAAGTGTTTAGGTACTTTTTTTAGTAAATAGATTTAGCAAGTTGGAGCAAAATAGCCAGTTTTGGCAAGAACAAGACACGTAACAAAACATTTTTGAATCATCTTTTTGAACAAAATCAATTTCGTTTATGCAAAAGACAACAAAAAGAGAAGGGTATTCTTAAAACTATTTTGAAAAGAATAATATACCCAAATGCCCTATTTTTATTAACGATTTAGCAATTTTTCATTAGTATTTGCTAATCGACCATAAAATAAAATTGAGACTAAGCACTTTATCAATAAAAGTGATTACTGTGAACTAAGGGAATCTAAGCTTTGCACTAATTTTGTCTCGGAGTGGCAGAAAACAACAAACCAGTTATTTTTCAATAGATATCCAAACTCGATTAATGACAAAAATGGTTTCAGTCTTCATGCTACTGTTAAAATCCACTGAGCAGTTTTCGAGTTGCACAAAAAAGATTTCACATTTTTTCTCGTTCTTTTCGAAAGCAGTTGGATCCAAATTGTCTGAACTAAGAAAACTTACATCTGTACTTTTAACTGCTCAGGTTGTCTAGCAAAATTAGTTTGCGTTTGCTTTTTTCTTGCTCACAGTGCTCACATATTTTGTTAAAGTAACGGAAAAAAAAACAAAAAAAAGAACTTTCACGAATATTTTCTCTAGGTGACTGGAATTTGAACAAATTGTGTTTCCAACAAAATTAATTGAAAATTTTGCCAGCATTTCTGGCGTAGTTGAGACTTGTTTCAACATTAGTTGTGCTCATGTCGAGTTATCATCAGTAAAAAAAGTCAATCAGTCAATCTGGTTTAACCAACTAAAAATTGAGTTTTCAAAAATAACGGAACAGAGCCGTACTAAAAAAACTTTATTATTCAACTTGAAAACCACGAAGAGATTTAGATTTAGACATAACGTGTTACCGACGTAATTTTTTGGATTTTGCCAGATGTTTCAGGGTAGTTAGGGTTGCAAAAATCATTACGAGGTCTAATTGTGAAATTGTGATTTAGAAGAGATTTTTGCAACCGGTCAATATCAGATCTGTTATGGCATCCGCAACATTGCTACTTTTCTCCGATTTACTTTGCTGCTCTGGATTCCTCAAACAAAGAGCTAAAACAATGTAGCGCTCAAAACTACTCCAAAAATGGGCCAATTTGGGGTATCTGCATCAGAATTTGCGGAATCTGGAACTTTTTGAGAAATCCACAAACAATTGTTAAAATAATATCCGCAAATTAGCGGATTCAAATTGCATATATAGTAGCCTTTTGAATTCAAACTTTCATTTATCAGGTGGCCACCAGCGAGAGCAATCCCAATTACAGCTAACAAATAAGCTACCAGTTGAAATATCAAAACGCTCGATCTCAATTCCTGCCAACTTTTTTTATCAACCTCAAAACTTTCCTCTGTCACTTCGATCTCAATTCCTGCCGATTTCTTTGATTATAAATCCTTTCATCTCATTCCTCCTCTCAACCCAACCTTCTCATCACAAAAACGGATTATTTGAAATCACTCTGAATCTCTCTGAATCACTCTGAATAATCTATTTGAAATCACTCTGAAAAAATTCAAATTAAATTTGTTCGTGAGTTCTGCTGACAATGGTTAAGACCTTGTTTATATTTTCCGCATTGCTAGAAAATAGTTCTAGCTCTAACTTTTAATTGTTCATAATGCAACA